CATGCAAATTTTATCAAAGCATTCGTTCAACCTGTCTGCTGACCTCTAGACCTCGCATGACCTTTAATCCCCCCCCCCAAAAGCCTCACAGTAACTAGTCTACATGTATTTAAAATATCACATTTAGAAGGTCTCTCATATCAGGTAGAGAAAGCCATTAATCAAACTGACATAACCGATAACTTAAAAAATAAAATATTAAAGTGTCTGATAGTGTAAGAAATCTGTATTGACAGTATAGCATGCATACGATTCACTCTAGCGTTACTATGTAAATAAAAAATTCACACTATTGAGTAATTATAGTACAATAACAAGAACAGTTGCACTCTTTCCATTGAGTCGAACAATTTTTTGAGGGTGGCAGGGAAAAAAACAGCAGAACAAATGCATTCCATCAAGAAAAAAAGCAAACATATTTGTGGATGAAAAAAAAAAGTTAATTATCTAGCTCAAAATCAAGTGAAGGAACAAATAATTTGTACTGCACCATCTCCCCTCCCAGCGTTTCTAGGGATTCATCACATAGTAGGGTATTTTGGTAAAGTGGGGCATTTGATACAACAGGATCTGGTAAGCGGAATTAGTTTTCAAAAAGATAAAATATCATAAAAGATGTTATAGATACAGGGCTACATCCGTAATGTCTCATCAAGTGCAAATCAAAATCATGCTACATTAGGCAGACACAATGAAATGGAGAGCTGTTTCTGAATATCAATAATGCAAACAGATGATGTTAATTTGTGTTTACTTGAATAATTCATAATCCATAATCATTCATGACAGAGATATGAGAGAATTAGGGGTTTCATATTTCCCCCAAAAAATGTGATTAAGGTGAAAACATATGGGCAAAGTATAATCAGAAAATTAATTCATGAAAATGCTAAATTTTGCATTCTATGTTAGATATATATATACATGTATATTATTTTATTTGACACAAAATTCTGTATGAAGGAAAATCAAACAAACAAAATTCTATAGAATGGTCTACCAAATGGGTTTCTACTATTGAATCACATCGCCCTGACAACTTAAATTTGTCTCTGATGTGCCTAAATCAGTCACATGGTCATTTTAATTAGCCAATTGCAATCTATTAGTAAAATTATTTGATGTTATTACTCTACATAAATGTATTGAATTCACAATTCAAAAATTGCACAACAACTTTGAAACAGCAAAATCACCACTTTGCTTTTCAAAATGTCTTCTGACTATCTCAAATTACAGTGAATTTGTATAATTTTAAAACCAACATAGAACGGAACCTTTTTCCAATAATGATACATCATGCATATGGGAATCAAATATCTCCAAAAAAGTTTTTTGCATGCCACACTGAACAAAATGCAATTCAGTTTGTCAACTTGTGCCCCATGTGGCAAAGATACTATATCAGCCACTGAGTTTATATATAACATGTTAAATAAAAACAGTACATTTACCTTCAAAATAGGGATTTGTCAGCATTGACAAATCTACTTATTCCATGATAATTACTGCCAAAAATTTAATCCAATATTTTTATGAATTTTTAAATTATTTCTTTCAGCTGATTCCTATTGAATCATTCCTTGATCAAAATTAAAAATTATTTCAAAAATATGAAAAAAATTAGACAGGTTTATTCTGTGAAAGGTGACAAAACTTGACAGTGACGTTTTAAGGAGTCTGGGTCGATTTAAAGATTTTATCAATTTTACAAAGACAAAATAAAAATGTATTTTCCTGATAACTCTATTTTTATGATTTTTCAGATCTTAAAGGCGTTATTAGAAGTATGACTGAGAGAAATAAAAGTTTATTTTCAATTCTGCTAAAATCTTCTGAGGAATGTACTAGACCACATAATCATATGCAAATTTAGTAATTAGACATTAATGATATCATGCATATGACTCATTGCCCAGGAGAGGCTAGGAAGTCATGATGAGACAAGAAAGACCGAGTGACTTTGCAATACTCGAATGATTGAAAACTAAGATAATGAAAAAAAAAATTAATACATCAGTATTTCAATTAACTCAAATTGACTAAGTTAAAAAACAAGATTACCACTGTATTTGTTACAAGAGCATCACTAATAGAAGCACAGAAAACCCATAAAATTGCATTTATTGACTGGATCATTAAAATCTGATCACACAAATACACTGTACTCTTGCCAAATAAATAGTTAGCACATGCACTACACTAGCAGAACAATTTAAGAGAATAAAAACTAAATTTTGTGAATACGAAACTGAGGATTCTGAGCCCACTTCCTGTTTCATTGCTCAGTAAAATCCAAATCTTCTCAAAAACAGAACTAATTTCAATACACATTTAAATAAAATTTTCTGGGTCTGAATATATTTTATTTACGAGATTGAATTTGTTGTGAACTCCAGCTGACTGTGGACATGAGCTGCATGATATTAAAGTATTATTTGAGTGGCAAGCATTTGTATTCAGGGGAACAGCTTTAAAAGCTTAATTAATTTAGCACAATATGATAGAAAGGAACATGTACATGTAGCTCTAAAACTGAAACTCAAGTTAAAACAGGAACAGAAAGAGGAAAGCAAATGAATATCTATTTAATTTATTCCACGACATCAATTTCAGCATGGAATACCAATGTAGACCCCTGCCTGAAACGTGTATTTCAGTGTCTACCATAATACAACAGTTAAATTTTATTATATTATACATGTAATTACATGTAACATTTCATTTCCCCATACAGCTTTGTATTACACTGTACATGTATGACAAACACAACTTAGCCTAAAATATATATTCATTTAAGATTTGAATAATTTAAATACCCAATACAAACGTGTGAAATAAACTGTTTTGATGAGAATCACAATGATGATGATAAGTTATTGTTGCTAGAAATCTTCACCCGACAACTAACTGGTCTTCCAGAATTAAGTTTTCTCCCTGAATAGATTAACAAGGCATTACCTGCTTGCAAGTTTTGGTAACAAATAACTAATTACAATTAATTTTTCTAATTACAAGTCAGTATAATTATAGAAAACAGTAATGCTGCATAAACTGAAATAAAATTAGAAAAGTAGTGCAATAGTCTCGAGTAAATACTTTAACTGCAAATTGGGCTGCATATAATAATACTATGCTACAAGTGTCATTAACATTCCCTTGTTTTTGCTTCCAAAATGCACTTCAAATTTTCACATGATAAACCACTAACTGACAGGGGCACAATTTACTCAATCATATAGAAATTACTGCAAGATGTATTAAACTTGATGACTCAACAGTTGATAGCCACACAGAAAGACTTCTATTATAAATTAAAAATACATTATCTAGTTGCATTAACACTAAATTGACTTTTATATCACACCCATTAACCAAGGAACACTGATGTATTTACGCAATGCATATGCTCAGTAGTTTGACACGCACCAAATATACAATATTACATTCAAAGTCAATACCGCAGTCTGTTACTGTATCAATATCGGTTATTGTGTCAACATTACGGCTGATACTGGAGTGTCTATTCAGCAAACACAAAGCAGCTGTGGTAGTTTTTAGTTTCATGTGATGATGTTTAGGATTTTCTTTTAGAGCAAAGTCAACTTAAAATGCAATGCCTTTCGAGTGCTGTTAATGGTGTGAATATCGATTTTGTTTGACTTTGATGGTATTGACACAGAGCTACAGAAAGGGATATCACTTTCCTGTGGTTGGATGTTTGCTGTTAATAACTCTGATGTAAGCCGCAGTTTTACTATGGATAAAATACAGCTGCATGTACATTATGAAAAGACCATTTCCCGTTCACTGCGAGATTTCGTATTATGTGTGAAATCGATCGTAAAAACAGGACAAACAAAGATCATAGCGTTGTAGTCGCGTCAAACATCGCTCGGGATTCGAAAAACGTATTTTGGGGGATGTTTCCACACTTAATTATGCGATGTACAACATTTGATGGTCGATTTCAATGAAGTAAGGGTAATCAAATGCAATGTTCCCCTGTCAAAGATCAGTCTTTCGATGTGAGCTACGAAATAAAGAAATTCAAGTATTCAGTATTCCAGTGTTGTTAATAGTTACCATAATACTGCTGTATAACTTTTACCCCCTCCCCCAGGATGAATAGGAGTGAATTGTTTGATCGATCATATTTTTAGTCATTTTCATAGTTATGTAATAGTTTGGATCCATTTTCACACAGTTTGTATTGGTACATAATTTCCTACTCTTAGTGCAACAAATGCATTCTCATTAACTTTAAAAATATTTGTGAGTTTCAATGGCAGCTGAATCCAACGCGCCAATCAATGGATACAGTGCACAATGACATCATTTGAAAACATCACAATATTTCAGTTTTGAATTGAATTTACAAATATTTATTAAGTACCAAATGAGAAAATTGTTACATTTTGCATTTATATCCCACACACACACATCAGCAGAAGTGAAAACTATTACTGGAGAAAAAAAGAAGTGTTTTTTTTTTAGTTTTCGGTTACCTGTATACCTATACTTCAAGAACTCTCCTAAGTGAGTGAACAATATGTGACGACGACAAGGTATCTTAGTTCATTGTGATGCAGTTACCGGCTTCTCTATGCCCAATCAAGTGTGAACGCCTGGTGACAGACGACATATTGTTCAAGAAAAACATCTATTTTACTCGCACCTGACTTTTAGTCTTGAGACAATGAGTGTTTGAACATACTTGTATTTTTAGCCAGGTCATGTCAGGGCGCCATTCTGTGTTCGGGTGAGGCCGTACATGTTTTACTTGCTTGAATCATGGAGCTACATGCTTGGGGAGACACAGTCTATGATGTCATAGACGTGAATGAAGCACAGGGCCAAGTTTTCCTCATTTTGTAAGTGCGACCAATGCTGGTTAAATTATGACTGTTCCGGGTTTTTGCATGTCGTTCTGTGCATTTACCTCCATGTTCTGTGTTTCCAGGATTCTGATACTATACTTACATTTGACGACTACTTACCTTCACTTTGGGATTTCGATAAACGTATTCCCTGCAAATTGAGCAAACATCACAGTATTAGGCGACTGAATAGGACGAGAAATACACCAGTAACGATGACATCATCGAGAAAATAAATAAGCCGGAAACCAGACGACGGCAAGTCAAAGATGAACTTGGATGAACTTTGTTACATGATTCGGCTATCTGTCTAACCGGGCATCTGCCCGGGTATAACTACTTACTTCGAACGCCATACCAGGGCCCCATAGGAACGGTACAATATTCTGGCTAATATCCACCACTCCGCCGGTTTTGGTGAACGAACAGTTGTAAATTCTGTTCAAACAACAATCACCGAAATCACAAGTCGCGAAGGGAGCAGGTATACGAGAACACGCTCAAGGTATGCAGAGAACTCACTGACATTTTACCGGAAGTACGCAACTGTGCGTGATATGCATTCAGTTTCCAGGGCTGTCGCCCACCCTTTCGTCATCATTGCGCGCTAAAAATTTAAAATGCTTCTCATTATTGGTTTCATTTTTCACATTTTAATACAAAATATGAAAAGTAATTTAACCACATTACTTTCATGGACAACTTTGTTTTGAAAAAAAAATAACGTTAGTAATGATTATGCAACTTGCCGGAATTTGTGGTAAATTTGACCAAAACATGTTTTTGAAGCAAAAATGCATCGCTTCTTCGGCAAATTCATATTTTCTGATACGTATGTAGTTCGAGTTGAAAAGCTGGCAATTTTGTTTTGTTTTTCACTAAGGAGTTATTTTACCTTCGCTTATTTTTGAACTACATTTTTCCACAAGATTTTATATATCGAATGTATGTGGAATTTTTTTAATATAAATATTTTGTTGTTTTTTTTCTGTAATTTTACCTGTAGAATCACTTTCTTGAAAATTCTCTGTGTACACTGTATTGTCCAATATACTGACACTTGGAGTTTCCAAGGGTCAACCCCTTTATCCCTTCACGTGTTCTACGCTGCTGTACACAAGATCACAGTCACTCTACTAGGACAAGATGTATTCCTTCAATACATCTAGAAATATTTTATATAAGGGTTGGTTTGTTCAGACTCCTCACATTTCAAGGGGTTTCTCAAGTTGAAAACTGGGTACCATAGTAACTATCTTCCGCGGGTTGCTTCATCTCCACAATACCATTGTGTAAAGGGACAGACACGGAACAGCCTCTAGTAATACCTGATTAAAAACTGGGTGGCTAGACGATTTTGTGTGAAAAAGAAATGTTATGAGTAAACGATGACTGCGTATTGTAATATAAAAGAATTAGGGACAATGCAATATTTTCGTCATGTAAGAAACAGCCACTCCATATCATGAAGGCGTGAACGTTTTTCTAGTTCCTTCTGTCATTGGTCGATTCACTGCCATGTGCAAGAAATATAGTGTACATGGGCGAAATGTATCAACTAAGGCTCTGTGATTGGTCAACTTGTTTTACAACCATTCTTTGAAATTTATGAAACATTTTTATAAATATTTCTAAATTCGAACTGAAACGAGAGGTTTCTATTGCCATTGGAATTTACTATATTCATAAAGATGGAGGGAAATACCTTTGCTGCGCTAAGAGTATGTTCACCCAGCCTTTCATCCATGAGTAACTATTAAGTAAAAATGATAAATATTGGAATACGTTACAAACAATAAAGATGTTACGAATACCCGAAGTCATGTGCTTCGATGTGCCGATCAAGACCTACGACTGTGTTGCTTAGCAACAGTAAGGGCAAAACATAAATACATTGCATAGACAGAAACAAATAATGCATAATGAGAAACTATTAATAAAGAAAATATCTACCTCCCTGTTTTATTCAATTTTCAAATATTTGGCCAATACAACACTACAATCGCATATTGTTTTAAAATTGTTTAGTCTTTCCTGTTACTGGGTTTGTTTTGATTACATTCTTTGAATAAGAATTTCCTTTCACAATCTAGGGTGAAGTGAATTTTATTATCGACTACTTTTCCATTGCATTTTGTAAACAAAGTTCATTCTTTTCTTTAATAAGTGGCTTACTTCTTCTATCTAATTCGATTTTCGAATTATTATAGTGTACACAATTTCTACTAAAAGGATGGCACTATAGTTTAACGTTCAGAAACGTTTGGAAGCTGCATAAAAAAGGTTAGCAGCTTTAGCATCTTCATCATTACCACACCTTTGCCCATCCCTGGACCATCCATTACAGTACGGTTTTTCTATCATAGTCATTAATAGTTACTATGGTTACGGGTAGTTTAGAAACAAACTGCATAAAAAACAGCTAGCAGCTTTAGCATCTTCATCTTTACCCCCACCTTCTCCCAACATAAATAGTTGCCAATCCCCGAACCGGGGATTACAGTACGACTTTATATATCATAGTCATTAATAGTTGGTATGGTTACGGGTAGTGTTGCAAAATGTAAAAATGTATTCCTACATTTTCTTTTGTTTCTATATAAAAATCTTTTTTTTTCGCGTTGTGTCCTTATGGTGAGAAGAGGCATCTATTTGACAACGGTTTTCTGCTTGTGCACACATATTAATAAATTAAGTGAAAAGACGTTTTACACAGTTCATATCATCACTAGTTAGTATACAACTTAGATAACGAACTATTTTTCTGTATATATTAATATCACTCAGACTGTACAGTGACTGTAGTTATATTATTTGCATTTTTCTATTGCTTCAAGAATTTTATTTTGTAACATTTTTTTGTCTCTATTGGGAATGTTATGGGTCAATATATAGTATTTATCAGTATTATAATAGACAAGTAGTAACAAATATTTTAAATATTATAATATATCAGATTAAAAACATGTAGAATACTTTGAAAGAAAGAAACAAATCAAATATGTCAAAGTTACAAACTAGTATATATGTTGTTGTAGCTGTGCTTTCAGAAATGTTGTTTTCAGCATACAAAGGAAATTACCTTTCTTGCCGACGAGGGCGCTACTCTACTTCCTTGTTTTCTTCTCGCCCCCAAAATGGCGACGACCAGTGCAGCTTTTTCGGGTCTAGTCGATAAAGTTGCATTTATGAACAAGGTACGTACTATTTCATCAATTTTAACCTTGTGTCGGATGTCTGAAATTTTCATTCGTGTACAGAATCTATTTAAACGCGACTCAGATCCACTGATGATATGATAACTGAGTACTATTTACCATTGACGATGAAGTTGTCATTTGTAAATTGTAACCGGCATTATGTCTTGAGTCATCGTCCGTCGTCACGGGCTCTCAACACGGATAGAGCTTGGGTTGAGACATTAATTATCAACGAAAATAATCACTTAATACTATTAATACTACTGTGCGATAGACGGACGGCGAGTGTTGTTGATTTCAGTGACACAACTGTGCCTAGTTTATTTGATTGACACACACGAAAAAGATAACGGTAAATGTATGAAAGGAGATGATAATCATGGTGATTACATCCGGTCGAATTTGACTGTTGCGACCTGGCCGAGCTCGACTGTATTTGATAAATATAAACATAAAAAGTGCTATACGTTTTTACCAAGCAGCATCAATCATTGTCCCGGCTGCAACGATATACAACATGCAGTGTTATGTAGTCGATAACATTTCTAGTGACACCAAGGCACAAATTGCTTTGGAACTGAAAAGTTATGGTTTCATCTATACAAGATTCAACGTATAATTGCCATAAATTTGAGTGGGCTCTGAAAAGATGAACCATAGGACATTAAAGTGGACAAGAGCATTCATCAACACAGCTGTTCGGTTTAGCAATTATTGACATAAAACTTCTTACTTGACAAGCATACATTGCGTGTTTGATGAGAGATAACTAAAATTATAATTGACTGTTTAACTACTGGTCCAAAAAATGGACAGGTCCAACCCACCACCATTGCCAACTTTCTACAGTCTGTGTCTCACAGTATAATAGTAAATGAAAGTGAGGGCAGCATAACAAACATGAACAGCAACTTCTAAGCGCACAGTACAAAGACTGGAAATGAAGTCTTATCTTTGAACCAGTGATTCACTCGCAGCATATTAGCTGCTATCAAGTTCAAGACCAAGGGAGCTTTGAACAACCACAATGAAAATGACGAAAATGTGATAGCAGTTACAATTTTACTTCAGACACCAACATTGTAACACCGTAAACAAGTTTTAATAATTTTAATTTGATGGTTTTTTCTCCTCTCAGCTGCCGAGTTTACACAAAGCTACATCAGATGATGAAACACCAACACCAGGATACATGTACCAGGAAATCAACAGTATCCTTTAATTGGGACAGAAATTTCTGATTTGTATGATGACTGAACTGTGTGACTTATACTTGAATAATAATTGGGCAGCCTTGTAACATTATTCCAACAAAAGTTGGATGGTGACATTCTTCGTTCATTGTAAAGTTTCTATAGGTATGGATGTATTATATATAAAAACAAATTAATGTCTTTATTTGTAACTCGCACCAGATTTAAGGTGAACAACACGTTGTGACATTATGTCTTGCATTTGTTCAAAATATGATGTATATGTATCTACTGGTACAAATTTTAATCGATTTATTTTCCTTCTGAGTAACGAACATCAAATTTAAAGAATCCATTTATTAACTATCAATATCCTTCATAGTGCCTTGTCCCACAGTTCCTCGCATTTGAAGGATCCTTATTAAGAACAATGGGACAAGATCTACAATCTACGTCATATTGCGTATGTTAGTTCTTTTATGTTGTGTACCTGATAATACTAGTATGTTAATTCCTCAACAAAGTCTCTCACAGATATTTCATTTGAATCTTCTGGTTATTGTCAGTGTTTATTAGACTTTCTAGTTGACAGGTTACAAAAGAGATCATACCATGTCAAATTCAAGGTGAGTGTCATACAAATTATTTCAAATGTAATACCCTTTCAAGTGAAGACGCAAAGGGCGATAAGGTCTAGTTGTGATAGAACATGGTTTCCATTGATCCATTCGAGTATGCTGTATTTTACTGCATCACATATATTATAATGATGTTTGTTTCATGCTTGTTTTTTCATTTTACGCACTGG